GTTACATTTATATATGAACAGTTGAATGATGTCCATGGATCTTTTTCTTCTTCTTTTTCTTTTTTGATAAATACCTTATTACAGTTCTTAGTTCAAGTTCAAAATGTCCTCTTTAAATTTGCACAGTCATTTCCACCATTTCGTTTCTCCTTTCTGTTTGGCTTTTTCTTCTTGCTCCTTTATTCTTTTTCTCCACACAGTCCTAGTTCCACTTATAAATCTTAATTATCTTATTTCTTCCTTTTTTCTTTATCACAGTTATCAGACAAATATTGCAATTATAAAGTTTCTTTCCTCAATCCTTTCCTTAAATCTTTCAAAGTGTCAATTGTTCTTTCAAGTTTTTACTCTCAGCTGTCCTTCCGATCTCTCTGTCTCACTTGGACACGTCACTGTCACTTTCTCTTTCTTCCCACAGTTCTCAAATGTCAAACGCCAAAAAATAAAGTTATACAACCCCCTTTGCAACTCCCAAAGTAAAAGTAAACGCTGTTGTCTCACCCTTCAGCTCCTCCATTTTCAGCACTCCATTAATCAGCACAAACTACTGTCATTTCTTTGGTTAGTACTCCTTCCAATATTTCTGCCGCTTCGCTGCACTGTTCAGTTTGGAGTTTCAATTTTCAATTTCCCTTTGTAATACAAATCAGTATTCTGGAAACCTTCTGTAAGTTCACCTTTCCACTACTCAATTTGCTGTTCTCCACTCTTTGCTTCCTTCCTTCTTCTTTAAGCTGCTGGACTGCCACGTCTATGGTTCCGATCTGTACAATCTCCCTCTTCTGCTGCTGGTTTTTGGGGGATTCTCTTGTAATCTCCAGGATCGCGGCACCTCCCCGAGATGTCCAGGTCTTCCCCTTTCATCTATCTACCCCTCCGAGGTCCAACACGCTCCTGGAAGCCACCAAACAGTGAAAATCGGATCCTTTCAGAGCGGCGATCCGCTCCTCAGCTCCGCATCAATGCAGCGCCCAGCTGGAAGCCCCAAGTTTTCAAATTTCTTATTAAATCTTATTTGTCAAATCAGTTCAATTCTTTGTTATAGTAGATCAGCATATCTAGTAGATTATCACATATGTATGAGCCAGCAACGTGTTACAGCTGCCAAAAAAGCCAATGCAGTCCTAGATTGCATCAACAGATGAATAGTTTCAAGATCACATGAAGAGGTAGTACCGCTTTTATACAGCACTAGTGAGACCACAGTGGGAATATTGTGTCCAATTCTGGTCACCACAATACAAAAAAAGATGTTGAGACCCTAGAAAGAGTGCAAAGAGCAACAAAGATAAGACAAGATCGGGAGGCTAAGCCATATGATGAATGATTGAGGAAGCTAGGTATGTCTAGTCCGGGGGTCAGCAACATGCAGCTCTTTGGCACCTCTCCTGCGGCTCCCTGTCAGATAGTCCCTCCACTGGCTGGCCCCACCCCTCTCACCCTCCCCTCCCACTCACTCCTCGCCTGCCCTGAGAAGAGAAAGCCAACGGTGGCGGATGGAGACTCGCTCTGAATTCCAGAGCGGGAGGAGAGTGCCCCCCTATTTGCTTCTTCTTCCAGCCCTTGGTACTGCACGCACCGGGGAGATGCGTGACGTTTTCTCTGCCCCAAGACACTGGCTGGGCCAGCTGCAGCCGATGCTCCACATCTTAATGGGCTCCAGGAGGTGGAGGGGATGCCACAAGGCACTGCAAGAGCAGAGAGCAGGCCATGGAAGCGGTGAGAGGAATATGGGGAGACGCAGGACTTTCTCTCTGCTCCGAGACACCAGCTGATGCCACTGCTCTCGCTGCCTCCATGTTGCTAGCTGTTCTTGCAGTGCCTTGCACCGCATCCTTAAACTTAGCACGCTTCACAATGGGGGAGATTGCATCCCTTCCTCCTCCTTCTGGAGCCCATTACGACGTGGAGCATTGGCTGCAGTTCACCCAGCTGGTGTCTTGGGGCAGAGAGAAAGTTGTGCATTTCCCTGGTGCACAAAGCACCAACAAGGGCCAGAAGAAGAGGCAAGTAGAGGGGTGCTTTGCTCCCGCTCTGGAATACAGAGTGAGACTCTATCCACCGCTATCGCCCTTCTCTTCTTACAGTTTTGAAAAGATAAATTAATCTATTCAATTAATCCCAGACACTGATATTAATCTCATTTCAACAATCCTCATAGCTCATTTCAATTGTTTTCTATATATTCATAAACACATTCAATAAATTTACCAGTTTCCCTTCTTTCACATTTATTCCATTTATCCCTGTATATAGTTTAAGAAAAAAAAAGATAAGCATTCCAATAGCAAAGAAAATATCAGTTCCCATCCTTCATCTTATTTAACTATATTTCCCTATCTTCTAAATAGTCTATAGCGTCTAATATATTTATGCTACTCCTCATCACCTTGCAGAATCCCCTTCCTTGAACTAGGGAGAAATTTCTTGACAGTGAGACCAATCACCAGTAATCACTGGAATGGTTTGCCTTGGAAGTTGTGGGTGCTCCATCACTGTAGTTTTCAGAAGGAGACTGGATAGCCATCTATCCAGAATGATTTAGGATCATCTGCTATAGGCAGAAGGTTGCACTAGAAGAACTCCGAGATCCTCTCCAACCCTATTATTCTGTTCTGTGTGTCGTATTAGGTAACTTGACAGATTGCTAAATCAAGCATTCCAAGCAGCTGCCTATCCTGACCCATTCCTACCTGAGGGACTACAACTGAAGGTTGCTTTTTCCTGCCTACAGGGGTATATATTGGGAAGGAAAGCTGGGAGAATGTACCAATAACTTTTTTTTAATTTGTCCTGCATTGAAACACTGCAGTATTGTAAAGACCAACAATTGGGACAAAACATTTTATCTTTATACTTCTTGTGGATATTACTGGTATATAGCTGTGGCCTAAGAGTTGCTGCTTCACTTATGTAGGTAAAAAAGCTAACAGGTACAAAAGTGTATGTGACTCTCCCTGGCTGTTTTAATACTCTTTATCAAGTTTTTTTTTTATCTAAACAGATGCTGAATGCTATTTTCAGAGCTACCCAGTGTACCCTCTGAATAGAAAGGTGATATATAGTAAACATAAAAAGAAATACTTTAGGATCCTCAAGGCAGAGGGTTTGGTTTGGTGACCTGAAATACTGGCCCCAGTCCCTTTAAAGAAAACATAGAGCAGGTTTGAAAATCCTTAAACCATAGAAGGAAAAAAATATTATATGGTGCAGTTTGTAGTTGTCAACCGTCCATACGGTGCCATCGTGTGGCCATAGAAAATAATTTCCACTACACCTTGACTCATGAAATATTTCCAGGCTTAACATCATTAAGAAAAAGATATTGTATAGCCACAGATTCACTCTTCTTCTTTGGGTTTTGAGTGTGATGAGGAGAATATAGGAGTTACAGGGAGAAGGTGTTACAATGCTCAGCCTTTTTTCTGTAAAATTCTGTGGATGAGGCACAATACAAATGTAACCTAGAAGCATCTGAGTTATTCAATGGTGCCCCTTCTGTGCGGTTAGACACTTCTAATTAGATACTTTTGATTCCAGGTAACTTTCTTATAAATTTGGTGTGTGTGTGTGTGTGTGTGTGTGTGTGTGACACAATAGCAGGGGTTTTCGTTGTTTTTGATTTAATCAGGAATAACATTAAGAAAAGCAAATAATATCCTATTGAGTTTTTCTTGTGCTAGAGAAGAGAGAGGTAAACAGGCCGCAGGGACAAGGCAAAATGTGAGGAGACCTGAGCAATTTACTGCTCTGGGTGGAAGATAATTTGCTGTGACATACATTCAACTGATTGACATATGAATGGGTCACATTTAACTTCACAGAGGAAGAAACCTTTCTGTTTTTCAAACATTTCTATTGTTTCTGCTGTTTCAGATATTGCCAGTTTCTTTTTAGTTTCAAAAAGAAAACTCAAACTATTACTCAATATGTCATGGCTTAATACGGGGATAGAGGTTTTTATTCATTATTACATTGGACTGTAAATTGCATGTACAAAATTCTGCCAAGAATATGAATCTGGTCAAGAATATTTTATTTAATTTCATGTACATTTAAACTGAATTAAATTTGCTATATAGCATCTTTTACTCGTTCTCTACTATATATTATGCCATCTGCTGCTGTTTTATTTTAACAAATTTCACTTTCACAACTCTCTGGTTTTCACTAATGCCTGAATCTAGAATGTACTTTCAAATTTATCACATCAAAGTTCACAATAAATGTCCTTCTGGATGTTGCTGAACTACAATTCCCAGTGTCAAAGCCAGTGTGGTATCAAGTATGAACAAGCAGATCCACACATGAAGAATTCAATTAGCTACTTTATTGCTCATGCCTATTTCACAGCAATCTTCCAGACTAACGGTTTGCCCTTGGGCTAGACTAGATAATATTCAATGGCATCCAGGGGGTGGGGGTGGGGTTTCACTTTGCCTTCTTGTGCCTATGTAAAGATTCTAGATTAATTCCCCGCTTGACCGATCAGGCTGTCTCAACACATTTATTTTATTTATTTGGTTTGTCAATTGCTTACAATTTAGGTATAAGGAAAAACATAGTTATGAATACATGGATACATATAAGAAAAATAAAAGAAACAATAGGACAGGGACGGTAGGCACGTTGGTGCGCTTATGCATGCCCCCTACAGGTCTCTTAGGAAAGGGGTGAGGTCAATAGTAGACAGTCTAAGGTTAAAGTTTTTGTGGTTTGGGGAAAAAAACCACAGGGTAGAGTATTCCAGGCATTGACCACTCTTTTGCTGAAGTTGTATTTCCTGCAATCAAGTTTGGTGCAATTAACCCTGGGTTTGTATCTATTGTTTGCTCTCATATTGTTATGGTTGAAGCTGAAGTATTCATTGACAGGTAGGACATTGTAATGTATGATTTTATATACATGGCATGGCAATTGCCCCATAAGTTCTACTTGTCTTTCTCACCATCTATAGCTACAGAATACTGATTATTATTTCCATTTGTCTTCTGCTCCAGGGATACTTCCAGCACAGAGAAAAAAAGAGAATTATTTGTTCGCTACATGGATGAAATTGCTGCTTGCATAGGGGTTAAGCCCAATGTGCCATTACTTTTACTACAGGACCCCAAACTAGCTTTGAACATCTTCTTTGGTCCTTGTACCTCTTACCAGTATCGCCTTTGTGGACCTGGACAGTGGAAGGAAGCTAGAAATGCAATTCTGACCCAGTGGGACCGTGTTCTCAAGCCCCTGAAGACTCGGATCATAGATGATTCTTTTTCAAAACATACCATGCCATCCCTTTGGAAAAAAATATTTCACTTCACTGCATTCCTTGGAACTACTATATTCATATATATTCTTTTGTACTCATTTTGTACCAGATAAGGAAAACACCTAGGTATCATGTGTGTATATATTACACACACACACACATTCAATAGGGGTGTATACATCTTAGAACTTCATTTCATTATTTTATAGCAGGAATAAAAAGTAATCAGGCATCAAAGAAGCATACAAAATGCATCTATATTCTGGACTTGGAAAAATAATCTTGTAATATTCATTTTGTTTAGAAATATTTATGTCCAGTATTTACTGACATGTTCACCCCATAAAATCTGAGTAATTGTTTCACAGATTATGCAGAATAGCACCTTGACTTTATGTGAAATTGCAAGTTTTTTATTCTTACTTTTCCACAATCTTCCCCATTTTCATCAGATTCGGGCAACTTGTAGACAATTGCTCTATAATCCTTCCTTATTGACTGATCGTTTTTTCAATATTGCTTTCTAAGCTGTATCAATTATTTTAAAATTAAAATGTAATAAAGTATATAGCTTAAAATGTTCCAAGCAAACTGTAATCAAAAATAAACATTTACATTCACTAAATGTATTGTTATCACCCACGTATCTCTACAAAATAAATACCATGTGAGCCTAGTTACAGAACACGGTCATCTCACTTTATGGAATGAGGAATCTTTCAATAGGAGACCTCTCCTGGAATCAAATCACAAAATGACTTGCACCTTCCCATTTTTTAAAGGGGCAATTAAACCTTTAAAACTTTTGGAGATCTTGTGTTGCTGTTGATTGACAAAAATAATATTAGTCTAAAAATAGCCTAATGTTCTCCCAACCCCATCAGGAATTTATCCCAGTAACATTATACAGTATGCCATCCACAGTCCTCAACTAAGGCAGCCTTGAACTCATCTTTACTTCTTCTGGATTTAAAGTATTGATTTTCTTTCTCCAGTTTTTGCTGTTGACATGCCTAGGAAGTTAAATGTAGCAGATGACAGCCAGGAACTGGTATTTGCAAACTCTGAGTAGTCCCCTCAGGCTGCTGTGATCAGACAGCTTTTTCTCCTAGTTGCTAGGAGCTACTCCCTATAACCATTTGGGCTGGACACCTGCCTTTTATGCAGTGGTGGGATTCAATTTTTTTTAAACTACGGGTTCTGTGGGCATGGCTTGGTGGGCGTGGCAGGAGAAGGATACTGTAAAATCTCCAGTTGGAGGTGGTATTTGCTGGTTCTCCGAACTACTCGAAATTTCCGCTACCCGTTCTCCAGAACTGATCAGAACCTGCTGAATACCACCTCTGCTTCTATGAAAGAATATGCTCACACAGTGCCTGAACTGGGGTTTTTAAGTCACTTTTCAGAGCTTGCGTGGATGCCCGATATGCACAGGTTTAGCACTTTTTTTAAAAAAAAAAATTGTCCTGTGTTGCATTTAAATATTCCTCTTCCGGTTTGCAAGGCTTCGGCAGCAGCAGGGATTTGCAATTCCACGTGATCCCTGCTGCACTCACTGCTGAGGTGCCCCCGATCTGGGTGGATTTGGGAGATATAGCTGCCCCGTAGAGGCAGCTGAAGACAGGGGGGATCCGGACAGGGTTTTGGGGGTGTTGCAGACCCCCTCCCCAGCCGGCAAAACCCCCTTTTCCCAAGGCGGTGGAGCGGCGGTCAGCAATGGGCACCACAAAGAAGTCTGCAGCTGGATAAGAAAGTGCAGGAGGAAGAAAGTGAAAGTTTTTTCTTTGGCTGAGCCGGGACAAAGAGGAGCCCTTAAAACCTGGAATTTGCCTTTCTATTGCTACATTGTTCCCAGAAAGACTGTGTAAGCGGCAGAATAAAGTGAAAGTGAAAGTTATTTCTTTTCACTCTCCTTCCCTACGGAAGTAGCTGATGGAAATCTGGAAAACCTGCTTGGGCTAAGAAGGTAATTAAACCTAAAAATTAAAGCCAAGGGGATAAAAGATTTTGGAACATTGGAATTAAAAATTAAAAGTTTATTGCTATAAGTGGGAAGGAAGAGGTAAAAAAAATTATCCTAAGACTTTATTGAAGAAGACTGCTTGAAGTTTATAAGATTAGAAATTAATGACAATAAGGCTTCTAAAAAAATATTTTGAAACGGTCTAATTGAATTTCACCCCAGGAGGAAGGGGAAAAAAAAAAAGAAGAAGAAAGTGTTAATGGAACAGTCCGCTTTGTTTTGGATTGCTTTGTGACTTTGCGACTTTTGGGGAACTATTTCTAGAAAGACTAGAAACGTTTGGGTTGCTCTTTTAAAATAATAATAATAATAATGATGATGATGATGATGGCATTATCTGTGCAAGAATTACAAATGGAATTTCAAAAGCTACAACAAGATAAACAAGAAGGCAAGGACTCTCTTGGATCTATCTTTCGTTTTTTGGAAATGGCGATTTCTACTTACCAAGAAATACAAGAACAAGAGGATTGGGATGAAGAAGGAGAAGCCATCTTTAATGGACAATACATTCAAGAGGAACTATTTAATGGACAAAAAATCATAGCTGAAAAGAATAAGGGGGGAAAGAAAATGCAGAATTCAGAACCTAAAAAAGCAACCAAGAAAGGGGAAAATAAGATGAAAAATCAATACAAAGCCAGAAAGCAACAGAAAAGAGAAACACTACAGAGAGGGAAAACCAAAAAGTGGAATTTGAGAGATGGGGGGGGGTAAAAAGACTAGAATTGATAAGAAAGGAAGGGAAAAGGGGAAGAGAAGCCATAAAGGTTTAAAACAAAATATTAAAAAAAGGTTTTTTTCAGAGACAAAGGGTAAATTATAATTTAATATATGATTCTGCAAAAGTATATAAGATTGTATTGTAGATATTAGTACTTGAAATTGAGTTAGAAAATTGAAATATTATGAGTTAATAATGTATTAAAGGGAATATACAAAACGTTTAAAAGTAAGAGTTTATTTCTCTATGGAATATTGTTTTGATTATACTATAAATTGAATCCCTTTTTTATTGTTGTTTCACTATTTCAAAATGTAGTACTTTGTGCTAAGCAGAATCAGTATGGAAAGTATGTATTATTTCAAGTGTCAAATTTAGGGGAAAGATAAAAAAGTTGTCATACTTCAACCAGTGATTACAGGAGAAATATTGTATTAGAAAGAAAAGATAAATAGATAATTGAAGAGAACAGACAAAAGATACAAATATAATTATTTAAAATGAGATGAAATAAATATAACAGAATTATGAGAGTGAATAGAGGAGAGAAAATATATAGAAAATACAGAATGTTAATTAAGATATGAAACAGTATATTAAGTGAGTATGAATTTGATTTATGTCTGCATAAAAAGAAGTAACCCGGGGTAAGCCGCTTTCCAAAATAAATTTTAGGTATTTATGTTTTGTGTTTTGTATGTCTACGTTTGAATTAATAAAATTTTAGAAGAATGTAAGAAGAATGTTGGAAGAGAATAATGAAATTGTAAATAAGACAGATGGATATAAAAATGTATACAATCTAAAGTAAAAGAAATATAATTTGAATAAATAGAAGGAAAGGGAGTAATAAAGAGAAGTTGGGATAAGATATGAAATTGAACAGATAAGGTAAATATATATATTAAATTGTGTTCATATGGAAATGTGATAATTTGGAATTATTCTGTCTTTAAATAAGATGTCTTATTGGTTTTTTCAGAAAAAGATCTCTTATGTTATTATATCCTATGCTTTGTTTGTCTGTATATTGTTTTGTAAAATTAATAAAATTTGTTTTAAAAAAATGTCCTGTGTTGCATTTAAATATTGGTTTAAATAATAATGGAATTACCTAGCTTTATTTCAGTGGTTTGGTCACCTGTATTATATATTTTGCATTCCTTCTGTCCACAAGGGGTTTCTTATGGAAGTCTGTTTTGATCTGGTGATTTTCCTCCTCCATAGGCTGGTTTCAGCTGGTGCCAGCAATGGCCTCTTGTTACAAGTACGAAACTCAAAGAGTTTGTCCATTATTGATTACTTCCTCCTGCTTTACCACATGCTCTGCCTGTATGCCTGTTAGCCCAACAAAAAAAAACAAAAAGTGAAGCATAGGAAGCATCCTCAATGCATTTTGCAGCCTCACCTCCAAACTTGTGATTTGATATCCTGATTATTTCTAAACACTTGTATCGCAATCTTTTTAAAGTGTGGTGATCCTGTATCCAAAATTAGCCTGACTGAAAAGTCTCAGGTCTAGAGAAATGAAGTACCTCAGCCTGCTAGCTGGGCAATTTAACATGCACCAAAGTCACCATTCAAAGCATCCTCCTACACTTGCTTCACTCTGCCACAGATGTCAAGTTAGCTGTCAGAAGGTGACAAGCAAACCTCCTGAAAACCATACTAGTAGATTAAACTAGTAGATTAAACAGGTAAAGAGCAGCAGAGCATATCCATAAGCACCAACTAGCAGTCACAAGACAAGATTAAAACTTATTAATTGCACAATAATGGACAAGTTTAACCCATACCATAGTTTCACTTGAGAATCCTGGACCAAACCTAGTCTAGAAAAACTAGAGAATTCCTAAAAGCCTGGCACTCAGACAAATCAGCCATCAATAGGTACATAGATATTCATCTACACACCATTCAAAAGAGACAATCAACAAGCTAATAAGGAAACCAAAACATCTCCTCCCCAGCAATACCCAGATAATCAGAGACTAACAGCAGGATTAACTCTAGTGCAACAATTAAGCAGTGAATAATAGCCCAATCAGAAAACTTCCAACTCAGACAAACAATCAAATAGTAAGCAACAGCCTAATCAAAGAACCATCAAGAATATCTTACTAGCCATTTGTATATAAATAGAGAGCGAACTCCACTCTTTGTAGCACTGATGTTACCTAGTTGGATAATGAAATGTCTGCAAACCTCCCCCCCACCCCAAGCTCAGAAAGCATCAAGTACCCCACAAATATGAAAATAGAATTGTCTTTTTAAAATAAATTTACGTATACTATTTAAGATGTTTTGGGACTATGCTATATGCATTTTGTGAAGTTTTTCTTGGTTTGGCTCTTGAATTTTCCTTTGTAAAACGAAGTTATAAGCAACTCCATATCTTATGCAATGAATCTTTCAGATTTGTCCCTTTTTCACATTTGTCCTTTATTTTCCCCCAAAAAAATATGGTTAAAATAGTTACAGTTTTAATAAATGAAGATAATACTTAACCATGCACCTTTTCTTATTTAGAATGATTTCTTTCTATTTGGTATGTAGAGCTATGATTTGATAATTTTTTGGTATGTTTTTTATATTACATAGAAACAAAATTCCTTCCTGCTATAAGCACAGGGGAAACATAGAACAGATGCATCAGGATTAGATAGAAGGAAATTTTAGGGAAAAGTTTCTCAAAATTGGCAGTATTACAATTTTCTAAAACTATCAGAGAAGTGATCTAACATTCCCCACCCCCTTAATAAACTAATGATTTTATTGGCCTTAAGAGCTTATTTTAATATTTAAATTATATTCTATAAATCAGCAGGGTTTTGCAAACCTTGTAGTACATTGGTTGCCTACTGTGCTTTTGTACAAGTCAACTCTGGAGCAAAACAAAGAATATTTTTGAGGGCTCCTGCTTTG